ACCTTTGACCTTGACCTCAATTTCAAGGTCATAGATCAGTGATTTCAAATCGAAAGATTCAAGGTCATTCACTTGTATGGTTAAGGAATAATACTGATTTAAAATAATAAGGTGAGAAAAATCCTATAAAGGATGACCGAAACACTTCGACTTAAAGAAGTTGAAGTTGCGCTATGTCGGAAACAATTATATGGCATTTGCATCATAACATTAACTGTAATGGTTTGTTTGGAATAAAGATAACAAGCTAAGTTCAAAATTTAGAACATGACTTGACCGTTGACCTTGACTCCAAATTCAAGGTCACAGGTCAGTGATCTCAAATCAAAAGATCCTAGGTCATTGACTTGTATGGTTGAGGAGTAATACTGATTTCAAATACATAAGGGGAGAAAACTCTTATAAAGGGTTACCAAAACACTTCGACTTAAATGGGTTGAAGTTGCGCCCTACTGTTAACAATTATTTAGCAAACACATCATATCATTAATTGTTACGGTTTCTTTTGAATAAAAATAACAAGCAAAATTCAAAATTAAGAACATGACCTTGACCTTTGACATTGACCTCAATTTCCTCCAAATGCACCAAGGACTTCGTATCAAAAGACTTTAGGCCTCTATGACTTATGGTGTATGAATTTATTCAACATATCACTTATGTTAAATTTTTAAAGGGAAATAACTCCCATAAGATGTCATTGGATTACTTCGGTTAAACTTAACCAAAACATCCTTAGGAGTAGACGAACAATTTGGTGAAAAAAAGTTTGTTTGTTATCTTTACGGTTTTAGAGAAATAAAGATAACAAGAAAAAGGGGATGCGGGGAGATAAATCCTATACGAGTAAGTGTTCGGTTACACAGGGTGAATGGGGAAATCCCTATCACTGTACAATATCATGGGCCAAACATCCTTTCGATATGCCAAGTAACAAAAAAACATCTCAGACGGCAGAAGAAGAAAAAAAAATAATCAGAATTAAATCAAAAGGTCTTTCCACCGAAAAGTGGAAAGACCTAATAATCAGAACAAAAGCAAAAGGTTTTTCCACAGAAAAGTGGAAAGACCTAAAAAAAAAACATAATCAGAACAAAACTAATGGGTCTTTCCACGGAAAAGTGGAAAGACTTAATAAATAAATGAGACAGCAAAGGGATGGGGATATCAATGGACAAATTTTGTCTTATCAATAGTCATTTTTACCCCCTTGTGTTGAAGTTAACTAATTTAAAATCGATCGTGGGCTAAACATGCATTCACATTACGAATATTATTGATATTATCTCATATATGATCATCTTTGATCGTATTTGTTTCAGAGTATGTTTTATGGAGGGAATATGAACCCAAAATAGGACTAGACCAGCACACTGAACTGGAGGCCATGTCAATAAAAAGTAAAATAACAAAAATACCGAACTCCAAAGAAAATTCAAAAATGAAAGTACTTTATCAAATGGCAAAATCAAAAGCCTAAACACATCATACGAATGGAAACAACTGTCATATTCCTGACTTGGTACAGGCACTTCCTCATGTAGAAAATGGTGGATTAAACCTGGTTTTATAGCTAGCTAAACCTCTCACTTGTATGACAGTCGCATATAATTCCATTATATAGACAACAATGTGTGAGCAAAACAAACAGACATAATAGGTGAAATTGTCAAAAATTGGGGTACAGCGGTCAATATTGTGTTATAATCTTAATCAATATAAAAACAACTAACTATTTCAACAAAGAAAAACAAAATGGCATATAGACACTCTAAAGACAAAGTACATTAGCAAAAATGAAAGACAAGAATACAAAAAATGACCATAGCACAATAACACAATAGCGGGATGTATAAATACCGAGCCACGCCAAAGGTATATTATCAAAAATAAATATTATGAAAGTATCCTAGGATGCGTCCTAAGATATGTCTTAGGACATTATTTAGGATGGTCTTAGGACGTGTTTGAGACATGCATTAGGGTGTAAAACAAAGCTATCTTGGGACAGTAATAACTAAGCATCCTAACACATTTATTTCATTAATAAAAATATGTAGAGAATTCAATGAAATATGTTTTAATGTGTTTCAGTATATATGTAAAGGGCGGGAGTTTGCATCTTCTTAAGAAGAAAGAAATTAAGGCAAAATAAAGCTTTAACGTAATACTAATAGATACATTATTATAAACTATTAAAATGATAAATAAATTTTATACAACAACTAAACTAAATTGTCACAAAACTTTGTTTTCAATTATTGTTGTAACATTTGGTCAAGGTGCAAAAAATGTTGCTAATATTGATAGAATTTTCAAGCTTCAAAAAAAGGCAGCACGAACTATTTTAAATGAGCATAATAATATGACACCGTCAAACATACTTCAAATCTGGAGAGCTGCTATGAATGCCCAATTCAGATTATTTTGTTTATAGAAAAGCAATTTAGTTCTTAAGTACAAGTACTTCACCAAATGACTTCGGAATATCTCAGTGTATTTAGATATGCATCAGGTTAGTTCTAAATCAACCAGAAAAAGTACTTGTAATGTGCTTTTTGTTCCAAAAACTAAAACTGAATACTATCAACGCTCCTCGTTCATGTCTGGAAGTATCTCATTGAACAATCTGTCTACAAATTTAAAGCAATGTAACACAATCTTTTAAAAACATATATTGAAGAATATTTTGTTTAATTCTAATAACAGTATAATAGTTGAATATTTGTATTATTGAATTTTATACTTAATGTTGTAATAAATGTATATAATTCAGGACCGTATTGTAAACTAGTGTTTAAACTAAATATGTTATCCTGTTGAAATAAAGGAACTTATTAGTATTATTAAATTCTTCCTACCGAAGTAAATAAGCATAGGGGATTTTTAATCAGCAAGCCATCAAACGTGGCGACGAATAATATTAAGGGAAACACATGGGATAGTATCTACACAAAGATAAATCCTTCAAATACTGACTGAAGGCCATATTTGTTGTTATCATTGCGATTTAGGACATTCTAACTTTTAGGACTATCCTAAGACCATCCTAAGACACCTTTTATGTATATACAAATATCCTAACTTTAGGACCGAATTAAGGACATATCTTATCTCAGGAGACTTCGTTAACCTGACTTAGGTTAAGACGTGTCCTAAGACCACCCTTAGACACGTCCTAGCCCTAAGACAGCTTCGTTGACACGGCCCCAGCTTTTTAGCGTGCTAGTTCACCAGGTAACTGCACTTACAATCCACAGGAACACATATCACCCTATCCGTCACCCTATCCGGACACATTCTGACGTCGAGTCGACCAGTCTTTGCTCTGACTCTCAAATGTTACTTGCTGAACGGAGAAACGCAAACTCAAAAAGTAGCGTGCTTGTCTCGAGTGTGTTCGATTTTTAGCCAGGATCGATAACACTCGAGACAAGCACGCTACTACGAGACCACCGATGTCGTATACAAAATGAAGAGAGTCATGTAATTACATTTTCCGTTGAAACTGTAGACGGTTAGAGTGAAATAATTTTATCTGCAAAGTACAAATATAGTCATTACTTTGGAAAAATTGTATAATTGAAAATTTGTTTTCTTCAATTTAAGAAATTAATGTATATATTATGATTAAGTGCCTATAAATAGTAACACACACATCTATTTGACTGTGAAAAATCAGACCAAAGTTGAATAGAACAACGAGAATAAAATTATAGATTTCCTAACACTGTGTTTGTAACATACTACATGTGTTTTTGGTATGTAAATATAGAAAACATTTACAGCGTGTCGAAAAATAAACGCAATATTTCTGACATAATATATTTGCACCATATCTTACAGTTAGTGTACAAACAGTACTTGGGATAGGCATTGGGGCCAATTTAACATTCGGCTTAATATACATCGATCATGATTCCAAACTAACGAAAACGGTTCCCTCACAAGACATCTTCACTCAAAAAATTATAGAAGTGAACGCTGAGTGGGATACCCCGGCAATAAAAGAGAACAGATAAAGGACAGGGAACCAGTCTAACCTATGGATCCAACACCACACACAGAACCGGATGATTTGAATAAAAAAATAAAACGGTTCGGGATAGATGAAGTTTTTGAAATACTAAGGCTTATATACCTCAGGAATAGATTACCTTAGCTGCATTTGGCAAAACTTTTCGGAGTTTTTGGTCCTCAATGCTCTTCAACTTCGTACTTTATTTGGCCTTTTAAACTTTTTTTGATTCGAGCGTCACCGATGAGTCTTTTGTAGACGAACCGCATGTCTGGCTCAAATACAAAATTTCAATCCTGGTACCTATGATGAGTTTATTTACATTGCAACATCGTCCTTAATATCTTTGTAATATTTGCCACTGAAAATTGTAAACTTACTTTACCACAACACCAGTTTTATAATAAATCAAAGAAAATCTGAACGTTATGCACTTTACAAAGCACAGTTATATCTGCTTGTACGCTATAATTACAGGCAAACTATGGAGGTGCAAACACTTTATATACTGACATGTAGCATCCAATTATCAATTGGAAGGCTGCAAGTCTAACGAAGAAGTTTGATTATCGAAATTTTACGATTATTTTTCATCACATTGTAATTATTTTATACAATTACACACCAAACAGTGTTACATCTTTAAAAAAATATTTTTTTCTTTTTATCCAAAAACAACATTCCTAACATAATTTTACAAAATCAATCCTTTTACCATTTGTCACTTCTAGAATTAATATAAAACAATTTATTACAATAAATGTCAATTTCTAACCTTTTATGCCTTGAAAGATATTTTCGATCGGTTATTTCCATCTTAATGAAATCAGATTTTGCTTTTATCGATATGCCAATGAACCTAAATGAAATAGAGTCTTGTCAATGAACGAGAAGACATATATGATTGACACTTAGTTATTGAGAAGCCCACGTGTTAACAGGATTTCCATACATTGTGGTATAAGAAGAGAAACGCTTCATAAAAATCAATTCTGACGTGATTGTTAAGGTGGCAAGGAACAAAGTCAATTAAGGTACGAAGCTACATTAACTTACAAAGATAGACGGAAACAAACATGATTGACTCGTCTGAATTTGATGAGCTTTTCCAAGAATCAGTATCTCCAGTAAAACCATGTTTGCAAAGGTCGAGATTAAAATCAAGATCTGAACCTAATTCACCAGCAGGTTCATTCAAAAGGAAGTTAAAAGTGAAACAACTAATAGACGAGGAAAATAGAAGAAACAGTTTACCGGTTCCTATAATTTCAAATCTATCAAGTTCATGTGATGATATCTTAAATGAGAAAAGAAGACCTATACGACGATTTCGGTCCTCAAAATTAATATCGGGAGGAATTACAGGGATTGAAGACAAACGAGACAGCTATGCAAGCTTAGACATTCCCAAAGACCTTGAAAGAAGAAGACTTTCAAGTGAAACATCAGAAGACAGTGCTATTTGCTGTGGTTGTTCTTCGACTTGTTTACCAGGATACTATCGTGTGTGTGTCATCGGCGCTGACGCTGTAGGAAAAAGAACATTGATAAATAAATTTATGTGCTCAGATGTTATGACTACAGATGGTAAGCAATGATTATTTCTATCTTCAAATCGTAAAGAAATAAACAAACACCGAGTGTTATAACAAGGTACTTCTGTCATTAACTTTATCACGAACAACCGAAATCAAAATCTTCTAAAGTAAAAAAAGAAAAAACGTTAAAAATCACTATTGGTATCTTAAACGAAATCGCTAGTTCAACTTATAAATGGTAAGTTTAGCTGTAATATGTATACAAGAAGTATGATGCCCTTAAAAATTTTCTTAGTCAATCTTGTTGTTATTTGTCGATCTATTTATAATAATTAATGTGTATTTAAATAAAACAAACATTGTGTTTATTTTTACATGTTTTATTATATATTACGGTGTTTCTGAAGTCAGCAATTATTAACATTTCAAACAATTTGTTACAGGAGACGACGGTGACCGATTTGTAACTGTAGTAATAGACAACGAAGAATCAACTCTGGAATTTGTGAATTTTTCAGAAGACGAGGTACGTCATTTGTAATTTAAATAAGTGCAGTGAAGTATCCCGTAATAGAATACTAAATCTTTATCTCCCAACCTCGCATACAATTATATATGTATCCACAGCATCTGTGGCTCTCTTTTTTTTTATCAAACGTAACGAAACAATTTCATTTTACAACTTATATGAGTGAAAAACTTCTTTCAGTAAAACTAAACCTCTAGATGTCTGGTTGTCGAAACCATGTACTTAAATGTTTGGTATATGACTGCCTGAACCTGTAGTCTTTGGCCACCTTGTTAACTAAAAATAAAATGATTAAAAGCGCAAATTTTTCCACCAAATTTGTATACTTTGATTTTACAGAAGGTTGACCTTCACCAACTATTCCATAAAAGTATTGAACAGACTACAAATTACAGATATTTTTCACAATGTTTAAGAAAGGAGATTGTTATATTTTATCGATAAGGGTATGTTCAATCTTTATTTAAGGAGAAAGTTACCTATCGTTTAACATGTTTTGTTTCGTTTATTAACAGGATCAAAGGTACCCAGTTGATGCATACATTGTTGTATTTTCCGTTTATGAAAAGTCCAGTTACGACATAGCCTGTAGGTTCCTACAATGTATCCGCAACGACCAGTTTAGTGACAGACCAATTATCTTGGTAGCTAATAAAGTAGATCTTGTGAGAAAAAGACAAATAACCAAAGACGGTATGGACTTGCATTTAATATTATCACTCATTCAAATTACACGAAGACTATATTTTGTTTTACCAGAGAGCTTGCTTAAAAAGTTATGTATACATTAAATTAAGTGATTCTCTCAACACAAGATTAATCAGAACAAAAGCTTAATATATTAAATAAAAGTAAATGGGGAAATAAAGATATTTTCCGTTGTAGGTCTCTGAACTAGATACTTTAAGTGATACTAGAAAAAAAACTATAATTAAATGACTTAAAGGGAAAAAGTCACAAAAGAGTATTATTGCATTTTTTTTTTATCATAATATACAGTAAAAATAAAATTTAAATAAAAAAAAAATCTTTTAAAAGTATGTTACTTTTATTTCAGAGGCCAGAAATCTAGCATCGAAGTTCAATTGTAAATACATAGAGACATCAGCTACTTTGAATATAAAAGTTGACAAACTTCTTCTTGGAATTTTGAAACAGATAAAAATTAAACTACAACCGGAGGTTACGGAAAGTTGTGAATTATCGACGAAAGGGGCGATAAAGAGAGGATCTATTGGACTACTTAGCAGATTATTCCATCTTAAACCCAAGGTCAAGGTTAATAGTGATGACGTATTTGCGTTATGATGTGGATCAAATGTGATTATGCATAGTTGAGATGTGATGACGTGTTATCTGGAGAGACAGTGTGTTACATGAGCACAATGATATATCGATTTCAGTAAAGATGTTTTATCGAACTGCTTTTCATTCAATAGGAGAGAGTAAAACCGTTGTACGTTAATACACACGAAATAAGAATAAACAACAAGCGTAAATACATGTACAATGTACAAACACTGGACACTTTTAATTTGCAAAACACTCATTTGCAAATCCGCCGCCGCCTCTCCTTAGAGCTACAGTGTCGTGTATATAACCAAAATGTGCGGAATTACATGGGATTCAATAAATTCATTGCTTTTCTGCTGTCATTATTATATATATTTTTTTATTTGATTTAGAAAAACATGGGATTTTCAATATCCCATGGGATAAGGCAAATCCCATGGGATTGACCATTATCCCATGGGATTTTGGTTAAATCCCATAGGATTTTTTTGGGTCCCATGGGATAATTGTAGTCCCATGGGATATTTGTTGTCCCATGGGACAAAAAAAATCCCATGGGACTATAATTATCCCATGGGATTTTTAATATCCCATGGGACAAAATAAAATCCAATTAATCCTGTGGGATTCAAATTATAAATATACAGTAATGTGTATGTTACAATGAATTCTGTTTGGTAGTAAATTGTTTTAAGATGAATCTTTTTAGTTGAATATCTTTTCTTCCTTGGAAATGTTAATGCAATCATATTGTTCTATAATTGTTCAAAACTAAACTTTTAAACAACAAAGCAGATAATGTAAGTATCAATATATGTTTATTTATGAATTCTAGAATACTTTTTTGAAACACAATTTTTTCCCATTTGGAATCAATGAAAACTCTTTTATTAGGCTTAACATACTAGTAGCTTTTTACATAAATCTAATTTTTTTTCAGGATATCCCTCCATCCAAAAAATTAATAGTTTCTTATCATCCAGCATTGTGTGATCTCAATGTATAGTCCACTTTTTGGCCATTCAGCACAGAACATTATCATTATTGTGGTTTTAATATCTTTAGATATTTAATAGAACTTCGATTCATTGACTGAGTGATTAAAATAATAACTGATCTGACATTTGTCTTTGAATTTATTCTGGTCTTGTTTCTGTGTTTTCTCCTTTTATTCTAAGTGATGAATTTCAATCCTTCTGAAAAAGAACCAATAAAATCCGAAGTTATGCATTATAAAAAATTGTTTGCATACATGTAGCAATAACATATGATTTTCAATAAAAATAGCTATGCGGTATGGATTTTACTGATTGTTGAAGGTTGTCCAGAGTCATCAGTTGCTAACCTCCTACATCCTTTGGTCTCTGATGGAGAGTTGTCAAATTAGCAATATACCACATCTTCCTATTCTAATATTATATAACAATCAATTTATGTATTCTTCTTTATAACATTTGGGTATTTTCACCAGTTATATATATATATATATAGATCAATGTTAAAACTTTAGGCAATTACAATAACATTCCATTTTTCACAAGAATTTGCAAAATATTATACAAAACGCCAACAATAGAAACAGCACTTCTTTAAGCTTCTGAAGTTCTGAAATTATAACATTGATACAAAAAATTATATTTTTTTTTTTCTTATTTTTGTGTTGTTCGGTTGCTGTCTCATTTTTATATATGGTTATACATATATCCTAAATCTTCTTTTTGTTAACACTTAATTATTAATAGTAAAAATGGGATATTTTTATTTTGATAATCTCAAAACATTATTATTCTATCAAATAACTTATTTCCAAGTTCACAAAACACCAATGTGTCAGATATTAATTTTAAGACGTGTATAAACATGATCAACAAGCAGTTGACAGGATGTCATGCAAAAATCTCACTAATATTAAACTTTCACAAAAACTCCATACTCAGCGAGTACTATTAAAGTTCTTAGTACAGGACAAATTCCTAGTACAGGACACCATGCCTGGCAAACACTAGCATGTGTCAATGTCTAGTCAATCATGTAATCAGGCTCAAAATCTTAGTTTGGCACTGAATTTAAAAGTTCACCACATAATGAACATGTGTATGAAATTCAACATACTAAATACAGTTGACCTATTGCTTATAGTTTCTAAGAAGCAGACTTGAACAAGAAAACTAAACATTGACCAATGAACCATGGAAATGAGGTGAAAATCTGATGAACTATGCCAGGCAGACATGTACAGCTTACAATCCTTCCATACAACACATATAGTTGACCTATTGCTTATAGATTAAGAAAAACAGACCAAAACACAAAACCTTAACACTGAGCAATGAACCGTGAAAATGTCAAATAAAACCTGCGAGACTGACATGTACATCATAAAATATTTCCATACACCAAATATAGTTGACCTATTGCATTTAGTAATAGAAAAAAAGACCAAAACTCAAAAAATTAACTTTGACTACTGAACCATTAAAATGAGGTCAAGGTCAGATGACACCTGCCAGCTAGACATGTACACCTTACAATCATTCCATACACCAAATATAGTAGACCTATTGCATACAGTATAAGAAAAACAGACCAAAACACAAAAACTTAACTATAACCACTGAACCATGAAAATGAGGTCAAGGTCAGATGACACCTGCCAGTTGGTCATGTCCATCTTACACTCCTTCCATACACCGAATATACTAGACCTATTGCTTATAGTATCTGAGATATGGACTTGACCACCAAAACTTAACCTTAAATATAAAAAAGAAGATGTGGTATGATTGCCAATGAGACAACTCTCCACAAAGGACCAAATGACACAGAAATTACTAACTATAGGTCACTGTACGGCCTTCAACAATGAGCAAAGCCCATACCGCACAGTCAGCTATAAAAGGCCCAGAAATGACAATGTAAAACAATTCAAACGAGAAAACTAACAGCCTAATTTATGTACAAAAAATGAACGAAAAACAAATATGTAACACATAAACAAACGACAACCACTGAATAACAGGCTCCTGACTTGGGACAGGCACATACATACAGAATGTGGCGGGGTTAAACATGTTAGCGGGATCCCAACCCTCCTCCTTACCTGGGACAGTGGTGTAACAGTACAACATAAGAACGAACTATAATAAAATGCTTTGCTGAGCGCAGCCTGATACGACCGCAGAGGTCGATCCCTGAACAGTTGGGGCAATTTGGACACAATATTCAAGCTTGATACTCTCTGAATTTGGATTGTGATCAAATTTTTGACATAATATAGGTTTCTGACACAAAATAAATGTGGTCAAAGATCTTAAAAATCTATTGCGCAATACTTTCAATTGAAGATTTCTTCTTGAAACTTTTCAAAAAATTTGAAATTTCAAAAATATTGAAGAAAAAATAATTGGGAAAAAAAATCCCCCCCTCCTTGGAGTAATTACCCCCAAACTCAATCCAAGCCTTTCCTTTGAGGTATGGAACCTTGTACAATTTTAGAGAGATCCATACACTTAAACACAAGTTATTGTCTAGAAACTAGAAAAATGCTTGTTTTTGGCCCCTTTTTGCCCCTAATTCCTGCATGTTTGGGGCAATTACCCCCAAACTCAATCCCAGCCTTCCCTTTGTGATATGGAACCTTATGGTACAATTTCAGTGAGATCCATACACTTACACACAAGTTATTGTCCGGAAACTACAAAAATGCTTCTTTTTGGCCCCTTTTTGGCCCCTAATTCCTAAACTGTTGGTACCATAACCCCTTAAAACTAATCACAACTTTCCTTTTGTGGTATTGAATCTTCTTGTAAAATTTCATAGAGATCCATTCACTTAAACTAAAGTTATTGTCCGGAAACCAAATGTGTCTTCGGACGACGACGACGACAACATCATAGCATTATACGAACCCAAAAAATTTTTTTGCGGTCGTATAAAAATCAGTTGAAAGAGGCTTAACTCATTAGATAGATAATAATACTACAAATACAAGTGGACGTGGCCGGGTACTTGTACATCCAAACAACAAAAAGATCTGAGAGTACTCGCAGTTACTGACAGCTAGTTCAAAACCACTAACAACTAATAAAAAAAATCATGCATCTAAGACTGTTCTTGTTTACTGATCCATGAAATGAGGTCTAGGTCAAGTGAAAACTCTCTGACGAGCATGAGAACCTTGCAAGGTACGCACATACCAAATATAGTTATCCTATTACTCATAATAAGAGAGAAATTAACATTACAAAAATTTGAACTTTTTTTTCAAGTAGTCACTGAACCATGAAAATGAGGTCAAGGACAATGGACATGTGACAGACAGAATTCGCATCATGAGGCATCTATATATACAAAGTATGAAGCATCCAGGTCTTCCACCTTCTAAAATATAAAGCTTTTAGGAAGTTAGCTAATGCCACCGCCGGATCACTATCCCTATGTCGAGCTTTCTGCGACAAAAGTCGCAGGCTCGACAAAAATACATGAACATTTTAAAGTACTAAATTTTGAGTATATACATGTAAAACCACAAGTTACTAACTGAAGTTCATGGTGAACTGTAACCAAAAACTTTAAGTGAATACAATTTAGAGAAAGACAGATGAATGCACAAACACTATCAAAACAGAGCATAAAACTTACCGAACAAGATGTTTTACATTTACTCTTCAGAAGCAGGAAAATTGAAGTGTTTCTTTTCTTTCTCTGTCCTCCATGATATAAACTTCAAATTCATTCATGCAAAATATGAAAATCTGCAAAAGTAGGACCTTGTATCTCAGCTTATCCACATTTTGACTTTTGAACTGCATTGTTCTTTTCATCTTGCTGGCAACCTAAACATAAAAAAAATGATAAACACATAATTCTGGATAAACTTCGTGTGTTTATTTTTGTTGGTACAAATAATTTTTTCCAACTTTAAACGAAAACATCATCATTAGAAAGGACGTCATACTAACCTCCGAAATATTTAAACAAACCAAAATTAATACTTGATTAAGATCTTGTCATAAATGTATAGCATGGATACCTCTTATTTTTGAAGACCATATGTCTATTGCATACTTGTATTCCTTTGTACAAGAGTATGCATATTAATATTAAAGATTGATTCTGAGGACTTTAAAATCAAAGACGTAGTGCCATTACCCCCTGAATTCATTACACTATACAATGCCATAAGGCTACTCCAAG